AAGGAATAGAGTTCAAGGATTACCTGCATGAACCAATGGATGCAGGAACAAAGCTTAAGATCAAATTCAGGACGGGGGACATAGGCCTTCAAGAATGTCGACGAAGACATAGGACGGTAGACGAGGAAGACGACGAGTTCAAATGTGATTGCGGCTTCGAATGCGAAGACCGTGTTCATGTAGTCGCGGAATGTCCGTTGTACAAGAAGGAGAGGGAAGTGTACGTGACTGAGCTGGGAAAAATATATGGGACGTACAGGGAGATGTTTGGGGCATGGAATAGAGAGGGAAGGACGGTAGCATGTACTGGGGCAAGGGAGGTGGGTTGAAAAGGCGGGAAGGGATATCGTTAGGATAGACAGACTAGGCAACACATTTTTGAGCCACCTGTGGCAAAGTAGAAAGGAACGATTGGCCATCGGTGATCGGTCCTGTGGGAACAATGCTCCGTCCTCTCGAGGACGCGTGGTCAATGGTCTAACCGCTAAGGTATGCAAAACATGAGGGTACGCCCCCCCTCGCGCCCCCCCCTCCCCCCAACCGTGCCAACTGGCCGGCCAATGAAAGGCGCATAAAGCAAACGTCATGTGGGGGATGTTTTCTTCCTTCGGAAAAGCAAAAACGTTCACTCATTCTTGTACTTTCGGGGGTTAATGTTGTGAACTGCACGTTGGAGAAGTCGTTGGTAGGGATCTCTTTTTTGCTGTTGGTTGCGCTTACTTGTCCTCGTCCTCCCGAAACTCGTTGTCAACGTACACGCGAAATCTGATCGTTCTTGAAGGGATTCGTTCTCGTCTTCGAAAACAACAAGGGCGCGCTGAAAAATGCTTGAACTTGCAGTTTTTCGTCAACAACAAGGACAACGCCAAAATTCCGCCCACAAAATAGTGTACAACTTATGGGTAGCTTTAGCTTCTCGGTGAAAGTCATCGCAGCTGCCCCCCCTCACTTTGCCCCGTCCACCCGAAACAGATCTGCGCGGACCAGGGTGCCGAAGGATGGTCCGGCGGAGATCTTGCGGCGGTCCCTCAGGTAGCTCGACCCTCGCACACGAAGGCCATGCATGTGCCCTGCCAAGACGCACCCGAAAAAACACAAAGATAGATACGGCAGCAGGGGTCCCCGAATAAGGCGGTCGCCCTATATATATGGCGGGTGAAATTGACTGCCGTGGACGGAATAATCAACTTGTCCTACACATTGATGAATGAGACGCCCCATATAAGGCGGTCGTTATCAGCTGCCACCAACACCGCTATCTTGGGACCACACTCGGGGACCCCCACTGTACACGTTTGGAATGGAACGGGTGTGTGTGTGTGTGTCTGCGGAGAGCAACCCTTTTGTCTGACGGGAAACAGAGACGGAAGGAGGAATAATCACAAGAAAACCTCAGCGAAAAACCAAGCAAAACGCCGTTGCCCTCACGGCAAAATCCTTGCACCGAAGCGGCAGCGCGCGGGTTATGCCGTTGTCTGCGTGTCCGGCACGTGATCGAACACCAGTCATGAACAGGTGAAATATCGTTGCAATCGATCGGGATATGTAACCTCCACAACCAGCACCAACCGCTTCTCGAATAACAGCTGTCAGCGTTCTTGGCATCTCGTACCCGAGTCGATGAACACGCCCTCCAGTCCTGGAGATGTAATTGGATCGCCCCCCTGCGCTCCGCCTCCTGGTGGCACCACGAAAACCTCCGCGTCCTGCTCAAAAAAACAAAAAGAAAAAAGAAGCAGGATTTCTCCACACTCACCCCAAAGACTTTCGAGGTATTCAGAACAGGGATACACAGGTTTTAGTAAAGGAGTGAACACTCGTGTCCTGAGATTGGACCGACACAGTGTGGCACTAATACAGGACTGTGGTACTATACAGGGTCCACTGCTGTATCCGAAAGTAAACGAAACAACACAATAGCAGGGGTTACACCTGCCGACAGCAGCATAGAGATCAAACAACCGACACATCGTGGCTGTAATCGCGGGGACCCTCGACTACGAAACTACTAGCACCGAATAAAAGAAAAAAAGATAGGTGGGAGAAAGTTGCGAGGGAAGCAGCGCACTCCGCACGAGACCGGTCGAATGTGCAGGCCGCGCCGAAAAACAACAAATCAACGTAGTCCTGTGCACAGAAATAGCCACGGGGGTGGGGAATGCGGAAGGCAGAAAAGGTGAGGTGAGCTGCGTTCTGCCAAATACCAAAGATCGGAATACCGAAAATGTTCAGGAGCGCTCGTTCGTACCATTGGTGTGCCGCTGCTCCTCCGCCTAACCGGTGGTGGCGCTTCAGTTGCCCCCGCCTGGTGCTGCTGCTTTGCCACCGCCGCCCCCTCCGCGAGTGTCGCCTCCTCCTGCCCCCCCTGCTGGTCGCCTTCGCCTTCGCCCGCAAGGGCGAGGGGGTTCAGTTGTTGGTCGATTTCTTCCTCTTCATCGTCCTCCTCGTCCTCCGAGGAATCATCATCCTGCGGTGCACAGCAAGGGCCGGATGCCAAAACGTTCAAGGAGCCGAGAGGAAGCGACAAGGGTGGAGCCAAGTGATGGCCATCGCTTACCATGTGATGGCCTCGCTTCCTGCTTGTCGTTTGTGTACTCATCGGGTGAATCGGCGCCGCGCATGGAGGTGTGAACACCGACGACTTCGGACGCAAGAGGACGCAAGCTTCAACAGCAACACGCACAGCTTGCTGGAAAGTTAGGTGAAACGCGTGGCATACTGTTTACTGCGCCAGCCATGCTAAGCCGACGAGAGGGAAGCGAAACTAATACACAAGTGGGGAGGCCGGGGACATTGATATACTACATCATAACTACCCGCAAAAAAACACTAGAAAAGAGCGCTACTACAGGTTTTGCGGTAAATCAACACCGTTGCACATCGTTCAAGACAAACCGAACAGTGGGTCAGTATGTGGATGCGTCCAAACGATATAGAAACAGCAATTTGGAGGGGACAGGAGACAAAGGAACAGTTGTACCGAGAGTACAGGAGAGAAAATGTGGGAAGACTACGTACATTACATCGCGCGCATGTTCTACTTATTTTGTCTCGAAAGGACAGCACCAAATATCGTATGCATATCACGAGAAAGCGTCAACAGCGGCCACCACGACCACAAGGCCAACAGCAATGGAAATGATCAAGCTCCGTTCACCTCAGGGTCCTCGTTGGCGCCAAGGTTGTCCGCAAGTTGGACGTCCATCTTTTTCAAGCGAACCACGCCCAATAGTACCTCAGGAAACTCATCATCGGCCTCTCCCTGCATGTGTATACAAAACAACATATATTTCAGAGGCCGAAACAACGCAAGAATGGGCGAAGAAAATCAGCTGTAGATGCGGGTTTGTTTGAGGTCCACGTTTTTTTTATTTTACTACGACATCACAAAAAACGACATGAACCAACGCAAGAATGCGGGTAAAATTCGTGTGGTAAAGCGCGGTTGTTGTTCAGGTCCATTTCGTTTCTCCTGTTTAAAGTCGGGTGACAACACAGCATGTCGACATCGTGTTGATGGGGTTCGTCCGCACACGTTCGACGGCTTGACAACACTACACCATCGAAATGCTGCGAGCAAACTCCATAATAAAATTTTGCCACCAGCTAGGGCAAAGTCTACCCTGGCACAACAATTGCTTATCGAAGGAACGTTTGCGTTCGACGGGAGACAAGCTTGATCTCTCCCGGAGCAGAGCCTGGTGGAATGACCCCAGGGCTGTCGAATGAAACCAAGGCTAATGAGATGAACCCGAAAAATTGTGAAATGAGGACGAATTTGTAGAATGAATTAAGTCACAAAATGTTTACAGATACAGTAGTGGGCCCTATATAGTGCAGGGGTCTGTCGTGAAAATTTACCTGCACTATGGCAGGCACCTGCACTACTGAAATGGGTACCCTCGATAGTGCAGGTTCTGCACTATTGGGGCTTTCAATATTCCTCAATAGTGCAGGTTCTGCACTATTGAGGCACTCTTCGACTTCACGTTGTGAGTGTGGCGTCCGCGCTTTGCGGGGCCAACAGAGTACGAAATGGATCGAGATTGTGGATTAATAGTGGACGAAGCTAACTCTCAGTCCTCGTTGCCTGCCTTCCCTCGACGTTGGTGATAGAAAAAGACTTGCGTGTATAAAAAAAATACGACAGAAAGCCCACTGCAAAAACACGAGCAACCATGTACTGCTGGCCCCTGCCATCATTACGTGATGATCAAACTCTCATGTCTCCCTGGCGCACCTGGCTTCGATTTAGCAAGAATCAACACACACACAACCAGCCAGGCGCAACCTCACTCCGTTCTGCCAATTTATCTAACCCCTGCCGCACCGGCTGCTATGTTGCAAGAAAAAAAAACACAAGTAAAAAAGAGAGAAAAACATGCAGGAAGGTCACTGCAAAGAAAAATCAAGCAAGCATGCACCCCGCACCCTTGCTAACATCGTGACAAACTCCCTTATGACTGCCCGGCGCACCCGCTGCGATGTTGCGGGAAAAAAAACAAAAAGAATCGAGAAAGGCGCATAGGAAGCTGACTGCAAGGAAAAAAAAACAACCACGTACACCCGCCGCCTTCACTACGTCTCGACAAACTCTCTCATGTCTGCCTGGCGCACCCGCTTAGCGGCATGCGCTGCGATCATCGCCATTTTTGCTTTCTGCAGATGGAACGCCGCGTCTCCATTGCCACTCTCATCTGCTGCCGATTCCAGGACGCCGAAGTGAGGTGACAGCTCACTATAAGCCGGTGGAGCACGGCGCTCGCGCCCCGTGTTCTCACCGCCACCGCCATCTTCCGTTTCATCTTCCTCATCGCAGCCGGAAGAAATTTCTTCTTCGTCGGGCGTTGAGATGGTCCCGCCCCAGCACCCTCAGCACCCTCAGCTGGTATCTCTTTGCGCTTGCCAGCTCTTGCGACGCACGAGCAGCAGATTCGCCTTGTTTCGATGTCGCCAACCATGCTGCCGCAGTTGCCGTGGAGCCGCCCGCCACATCCTCCATGACAGACGTGGCCATGAGGGGCTTGCGGCGTCTTGTCTGGTTGGTGGCACAGCTCACCGTCCGCACAAGGCATGGTGCGCCTCTGCGCTGCGTACAGCTCTTCGGGTCTGCAGCAGCACGCGCGCCGCGTTTGTGTTGCGTCTATCCGCTGTTCGTGAGTGTGTGTCTTGTTTTTCTCTTGATCGCGTGTGTGTGTGTGTTTTTATTATTAGCGTCGACCGCGCTAACCGGCTGACCAATGAAAAGACGTCAGTCTTAGTGCGGTTGAAAACACAAAACACTTCTATCTACCATGAACTGGGACCCCGTGAGGGGGCAGCATGGGGGAGGCTGAACTATCCTTCGGATTAATGTGTGTGTGTGTGAATGTTTCTCCACCTGCACTATTGCGGGGCACCACGGTGCCCAACCTGCACTACATCGGGTATCTGCCTCAATAGTGCAGATCCTGCACTATTGAGGGCGCCGTCTGTGCGCAGAGATTCTACCTGCACTATATCGGGCGGTTGCACTATTCAAAGTGCACTATAGGGGGCCCACTACTGTACATGAATTCCGATTTCTGAAGTACAGGCAGCGCTTGTGGAATACAGCCACGTGTGTCGAATGGAGCAAAATGTGTGTGAATTCAAGGCTTCTGAAGCCAGCCATCGGGAATGAAGTCAAAGTTGGTGGAATGATGCCAGTGTCGTGGAATGAATCCGATGTTTGTGGCATGGAGTCAACTGAGATGGAGAAATAAATTGTTCGCCGTAGAAGCCAACGCCTGAAAGGGTAAACCCACCGATTGTGGGATGATTTCAGTGATTTCGAAGTGAATCCGATCAGTGCTTGTGACGTGAATCCAATAAACGAGGAATGAAGCTCATTCGTGTGTGTGTTGAGTGTGTTTTCGTCCTAGTTCGAACTATATATTATGGCGACAGTCCCCCCATTTTTTTTGGGTGAGACGTGTACTACACTTTTCAGCGTATGCAGAATACTAGACTTTTCAGTGAATTTTTTCGTACAACTACAACCATCCAAGGTCACACAGGAGGGGGTAAACACCAGGGCTTTTCTTCTTTTCATTTCTTTCCATGCCCCACCTTCCGCCTGCGGTGCGTGCTGAATTTTATATTTATCGCGAGACGTCCCTTTCCCTCGTCAACGGTGTTAATGTCGAAGTTTGGGTACTCACGACAGCTTGTCAGCTATATTTCGCTTGCACCCGCCAATTTCGTAAAATTTCACCCCCATGGGGATTCGTTCTCACGACCTTTGCGACTAGCGGATTACGAGGATGCCACTAGACCACCGGGGCGACCGATTTGTGGAATGAACCCCATGTTTTCGTGGAGTGCACCTCTTGTTTCAAAACAATGCGTGTGGGATGTTTTCGAGGAATTAAGTCGATCTCCGCAAAACGAAGTCGAAGTTTGCGAGGGTGATGTAGAGATCACCTTACTCAGTATCATTGACAAAATTCTCAAACTTCTCGTGAAAAGCGTTGGATATGTATTCCAACTACACCCGTCCGTACCGCTAAGTAGTCCTTTAAGAAAGCATTTCAAAACTACTCCACTGCTCACCTAGGAGAGTTGTGCAGGTATTCACTACTCAATACAACCGTGAAAATTGGGGGAGTAAGCCCGCGCGTATGAAAACGAAGCCAACGCTGAATGAAGCCACAGTTCGGAAGCGAATTTAACGCCCTTGGAATGAAGCCCACTTCGAGTCGAATGAATCTAGTTCTTGTGGAATGATGCAAGTGTGTGCACGAAACCTGGTCTTGCGGAATAGTGGCACGGTTTGAGAGTTGAACACGGGGCATATGGAATGAAGTTTTCTTCCCTGGAATGAATCCACTGCGCGCGGAATGAAGTCGATGTGTGCGCGCTGACTTCCACGTGTGACCTAATGGGTTTGCAAGCGAAGCCAGACATTGTGACATGGTGAAGCCAGCGAACTTGGAATGAACCCAATCTCGAATGAGGCCAACGTGGGTGGATTTTTTTCAGTGCTGACGTGGAATGAAGCCAATGTTGTTGCTGTTGTTGTTCTCGCAAAAGCTTTATCGTCCACAAAAAATGGGGACCCGTGGTCTCAAAATCCGGCACATACGACGCCGCGGGGAAACGAAACAAAAATAGGGTACAATCCTCTCGGAACAAGAAAACAAAATGATAGAAAGAAAAGAAGGTGTATGAAGCCGGCAATCTCCTGAATGAAGCTAACGTTTGCGAAGTGAAGCCAGCGCTTGCGGAATGAATTCAATGTGCGTAGAATGAACCCAATGCATATGGAATGAAGTCCCATGTGTGCAACGAAGCCTATACTCGCGGAATGAAAAAAAAGTCTGTGAGTTGACAGCGCTTGTGGAGTGATGCCGATGTGCGTGGAATGCAGCCAATGTGAAGCCAGCGCCACGGAACGAAGTCGACGGTTGTGGAATGATCGAACGTTTGAAGCTGGTCAACAGGGCTCACCTTCACGAGTTCTCAGCGGGTCTCTGGTGCCGGCATTCGAACGTTTGAAGGTTGTCAATGGGCCCCGCCTACACTGGCTCTTAACGAGTCACTCTGCGTGCTCTGTTTGCGGTGTTGTGCATTTGCCACGCGCGCAGGATTATCGCAGAGAAAAGGCTGCGTCTATTGCAGCCCGAGAGACGCTGACGGCACTCAGTGTGTAATTACAGAACAAAGGCAAACCTAAAAAGCTGGTAGTAGATTTCAACCCTACACATAGTTCACCCCCTATCTGTTTCCGTCCTCCTTTTTCCCACACCCGCTGGCTTCACTCCAAAACCGTTGACTTCAATACCGCATGCGTTGTTTTCATTCCACTAGCGCTCGTTTCACATTTGCTGCATACCTCACACATCGGCATAACTACACAAGCCCTGTCTTCACAATTCATTGCTTCATTCCGCACACGTTTGTTTCGTGCACACATCGCCTTCCACCGCCAGGTATGGCCAGGTTACATCCGAGACCCCGGTCAGCCACATGCCACGGAAAAAGACAGCAAACTCGCCTCCAACAACGCCGACGTAAACCTACGGCCTCGCCATATCTAACCAACCATTGCGTAAGTACGCAACAAAGCGGTGGAGTCCGCATCCCCCCATGCTCAGAGGCAAATAAACCGAGGACCGTTTCATATCGAAAAAATCAAGCCATGACACAACCGAAATGGCGGAAAAACACACTTTCCTCACGGTAAACAACCCAAAATGCCAGGAGGATATTCTTTCCCCATCTCGATTTTCTTTCTACTCACCTGGATACAGAAACCCATGTCAACGCAGAGGCTTTTCGCGTATCCGATGGCCAGGGAGACGGTGTTGTAGGCGACGACAGAGCTACCAATGTCGATGTCGACTTCGAAGTAGGACCGCGTCCTGAAATACCGACACGTGAGCTGCGGGCGCGGGAGCCATGGCGACATCGGCGGCGTTTTCGGTGGACAACAGGTTACAGCAGCAGAGGTTGTGGCGGGTTGATATGAGGACGAAAGTCAGAGACGCATGCCGTAAGCAAGCCATGAATCAGACTGGAACGTAAAATTTCATGCGCACCCCGGTCCGGCCGCAGCACTGAGAAAAGGATGAAACGAAGTGGTAGGAGGAACACCAACACCCCTGTAGGCACGAACCAGACACAAAACAGAAGCACGTACGCGAACCGGAGGCAAGCCCCTGTCGTCTAATCTCCTCCGTGGCCCCCCTCGACACAGAGACCCGCGGAGTAGATATCGTGTAAGTGCTCATTGTCCTCATCACTGTTAGGCTCGTTGTGAATATTCATTGGTCGACCACTACAGAAATGCTCAACCCCACACCAATCTACACACAAAATTTAACGCAAACGCATATCCCGCTGTTAAGCTGACTGGCGCATTATCATTCTCATTGGTCAGTCCGATAGCGCAGTAGATGCCAACAACAAAACACGCACGCACACACAAACCTTCTGCGCGATGAGCGTCGGCTTGCTGCCAACCGCCTTGCGCACGATCCATGGTCCCTCCAGGATCGCCGGAAAGAGCTTGAACCTCATGTTCCGCAGATCGTCCCCGGGCAGGCGTCCTCCGCCCCCGGCGTCTCCGATCCCCTCCCCCTCCTCCTCGTACTCGGAAACGCTGCCGTCTCCCTCGTCCGAGTTGTGCTTGGGGCCGAGATCGACGAAACGTCGAAACAGGTCCAGGAATCTGTGTTCGATGGGTTTAGGAGGTGTTGTTGGTTGGTGTACTATGGGATTTCGGGCGGTGATTGATCAAAACGGTAAGATATTCGGGGGGGCTACGCGGTTGATAAGGGTGAGAGCTGTGTGGATAAGCTGGCCGACTGAATGCATGATCGCCGGTGTGTCCCCCCTCTCCGCCCTAGTCTGCACCACGCACTTCCGCCTCTGTGAATCAGGAAAGTCGTGGAGCTCCTCGCGGCTCCCAGGCCGTCGAGACACCGAAATGCTCGAGCTCACAAGCATTGCACTTCCCCCCAGTGGCACAGGCATGCCATGCCAATGGAAAAGGCACCAAAACGCCTTTACCCTACAAAAAACGCAACGCCCCTTTGAATAATCCCTCGTATGCCGACGGCCGATCTCTCGACGCCGCCTGCCGCCCAGCCCGACAGGAAATTACAACAAGAACTACCAAAAATCGATCCCCAAAAACAATCTCTTGAACTCATGGCCAAGGCCATTAGGGAGAGAAGGGCACATATCGAGGTTGACCGCGACAAAAGAGTCAACTGTAAACCAAAAAATCGCTCATAATATCGCTCTTGGAACTCGGCACTCACGCGGGCGACTTCCCACCCGCTCCTTCCTCGGGCACGCCTCCCGGCGGCACCGGCACGGCGTAGTACAGGACCATGCTCAGCGGCGGGTTTCCTGGCACCTGAACGACGATGACGGCAGCAAGCAGAGATACCACCACCGCACGCGCAGTTCATAACAAGTGCCGAAAAGCCGGCGGGGTGACACTTCGGGAGGCTAGCAGCAGTCAGGGTACGATGCCGTCGGTCTGACTATTTGATGCCGCGGGCCTTCCTCGGTCTCGCCCCTCAGCAGACCCTTCGACTTCGACATCTTCTGCCTTGTGCATTCCCTATGAATGTGTCAGCCTCGGTGTGTCACGGGGCTCGATGGTGTAAGGAAGAGGTACTGACAAACAACTACTGAAGCAAATCGAAGGGAAAAGACAATATAAAATATATATATACATGTATACACTATATGACGACCAATAGTTACCTAACTTGGTGCGAAAAGGCTTCTTCGCAGCACACTTACAGCAGCACGGGCGTACATGATCCTCACGTCGCTTGGCATGTTTGGCTCATTCCACTAGATACAGTGGCTTGTTTTTCACCTGCAAGTTGACGATGACCAAGAACTGCCCCTTCTTGGCAAGGCGCCGGACAACCTTGGCAGACCGACCGACCGAGCCGATATTGTCCATGCGGTCTATCCCTGCCTCCATCTGTAGAGGTCGCAGCAGAAACATCATCAGCAGCAGGATGAATAGCAGCACAAGGAAAGCAGCGAGAGAGAGCGAAACCAGCAGCAGCACACGTGGTTTTAAGCGCAACAGGTGTGCACGTGACATGGCACTGGTCTTTGTGGGGTCAAATCTTTATCTCGGAACATTTCGTTTCACTTGCAATACCGAGAAAATACCACAGAAGCACGCAATTTTTCATGTTTTTCGCTCGACTTATGACCTATCACACACATTTGGCGGAAAACGCCACGTCCCGCGAAACGACGGGGTTCAATCAGTTTCACACAGGTGTCTGGTACATCTACGTGTTACTGCTACTAGTGTCATCTTTCGACACAGCACTTGTGAATCTCACGCACACTCGGCGGTATACACCACGTCCCGCGAAACGAACGGATTCAATCCATCCTACCATTGTTGTTGTTGTTGTTATTCTTCACGTTAAACTCGTGTCAGTTGCAAATCCCAAAATCTAGCAAAGACTCGGTCCGTGGTCACAAAAGTGCTTTGCATTGAGCCATAAGAATATCTAAAGAACACGCAAGAAAAGGGTACACAAGCCCGAGAAGGTACACCTGCAATCCCTGCAGCACGTATGCGTGCTCACAACTGAACGACAAGCCCACACACTAAAAATCGACTACAGCAGCACATCACCCCCCGTGTCCCGCATTTAACCGAAATAAATGTTTGTCGACTACAGCATACTGCTGTCTGAAGTGCTGTCTGTACAATAATAACACCATGGTGCATGGTACACAAGCTCGGGGCATGCAGCTGCTGTCTGAAGTGNTGGAATGGTTCCACATGGAAGGGGTCTTCCACGATGCAGGTTCACAATCAAGGCACCCGGGTTATCCGCGCCATCTCTGCCGCGTCTCTCCACAAAACCAGTGACGTCATCACACACACCCAACACCTATATTCAGGAAAAAAACGGGAAAATAATTGACAACACAAGAGATGTTTGTCCGTGCGCCACGGCTCGATGCCATCCGCATGCTCCGGTTCCGCTGCTCCGGTGTCGCTGCTCCGGTGCCGCTGTGGCCAGTCCTAGCACGACCAAACTCGACCCGCTCCGCTTCGTACACGCTCTCGTTGCTGTCCTTCCCACTCGGTTCCTCGCCTTCTCCCTCGTTGCACTTAGGGTTCTTGGTCTGAAAATTCTCGCGCCCAAGGGTCAACCAGCCCAATCAGCTCGTCACCACCTGTCCCCTCCTCC